TACCTCCTAAAAACAATATCTTCGAAGAGGAAGTCTGCTTTGAAGATATCAATCAAGCAATCGATAACTGGGAAATCCCTAAAATCCCTCAGGATGATCTTTACATCCCTGATGAAAACAAACATGTCCGTAGTTCTGATTATATCATCAAGACTGCCGAAAATAACATCCCTTTGGACCCCCAAACTGGTGAAGAATTCCACCTCCTCACAAAACAATCAATTACTGAGCATTCTATTGCATACCTTTGGGAATGCGGGGTGTGGTTCATTCGGTCGTGTCGAGTTTGGCGCACGTGAGGGTGTATGAGTGGTATTTGGGATGCTTTTGTTGGCTGGCTCCATGCTTGTGCATCGAACGGTTGACATGTATCCCTTTTCATATTTTCCTTTGGCCTTTATATATTTGGGGATATGCTTGGGTTTATGTTCAATAACTTCTTAAAATACACATAATAGACAATATGAATTATGATACAATCCAATTTGTTTATGTTAAAAAGAAGGAAAAGAGATATAAAATATAAACAAATTGATTCTCTAAAGTAAAATTACAAAATATAAACATTAATTAAAATTAACAAGTAAAAAATTGAAATTTTAGTAAATTTATAATGCATATACAATTACATTTCACCCATCTACTTTATCTTTCACTTTAGGAAAAAAGTATTAATTATTCAATTAACAATTTTATGTTAATTTAATTTTTCAAATCAAATCATTTATTATTTTATTTTGAATGAGATCACTAAAGAGGTGTAAGAAAAGAAATGCAAAGAAAAAAAAAGTAGAATGAGATAATTGTTAGATTATTTTGTGGGAAAAAATAAATGGGAAGAATTAAAATTGATCTCCCTTCATGTTTGTTGTGTAAAATGGGGATTAAATGTGTTTAAATAACATAAATAACCCATATAAAGAATGATATTTGATATAAACAAATGTATCTTTTTTAGGAAAATAATATTTATCCATATATAAATTAGAATAATGTGTGTAAAGTCATAAATATTTTAAAACTATTTTTTTTAACTTGTCTACTTAACTCAAGGGCAAGGCTTCTTGAGTTTCAAGGTAGGGTTTTTCAATATTTTCCAGTTCTATAATTTTAGCTTTGAGAGCATTTTTTTTAACTTCTCTTGCTGAAGACTAAGTTCCAAGTTTGTTATTAGTTTCATTATTTTAAAAAAAATTATTTAATTGTTTGAGTTTGAGAGTTTTATCATACATTATGTTGTCTAAGAAAGTTGTTTTGTCACACAGATAGTTAGGTTAGGTTCCAGGTTTGTTATTAGTTTCATTATCTTATTGTTTGAGCCTAAGAGTTTTATCATACATTCTATTATCTAAGTAAGTTGTTTTGTCACACAGGTAGTTAGGTTAAGTTCCAAGTTTGTTATTAGTTTTATTATTTTAAAAAAATTATTTTATTGTTTGATCCTAAGAGTTCTATCATACACATTTTATTGTCTAAGAAAGTTATTTTGTCACACAAATAGTTAGGTGCATTATATAATTTATAATATTATTTTCTCCATAATTAAAGTATTAACTAAATAGTTCTTTAGCAGACAACTTGAGAGGGAGAGGCAAAGATAAAGTCTTGTTGAAATTTTTAGAAGAGTGAAAAATTATGTTTATGCCTTTAAGGAAGATAGTTGTTAGGGAGCCCACCCACAAGAATGAAGGATCAACCATAGTCAAAGGAAGGGATAGTCAACCTAAAAATTAAGTGACCTAACCATCATTATTTAGGCCTTATTAGGAATTTTTTAAAACCCTATACATTTGTCCATGCCTCTTACTTTAGTAAAAATTGGTTGCATTTAAATGATGAATGTTTTAGTCGATAAATGATGAAAAATGTATATGAATTTTTTATGCTTCACCTTGATGTCGATACCTAAATATGGTTGTGATTCATTGTATTTGGTATTCATGGTGGGAAAATATAGGGTATTAAAACCCTATATATTTGACTTTGTCCCTGAACTCGATAAAATTCGGCTACATTTCCATGATGAGTGTTTTAATTGGCAAATGATGAATATGGTATATGATCCTTCTATGATTATGCCTGAACCTGATGTCAAAAAGTAGAAAGTCATTATTCGTTGCATTTTTTCTTATTTATCATGAGAAAAATATAGGGTAAGAAAGCATTATATATGTCCCATAGATTTTCATGCCTAGTGATGTTAGACTTGGCATCACTTGGTGTTCCATTTGCTTGCATATCTTTAGGAATGCGGGGTGTGGTTTGTTAGGTGGTGTCGAGTTTGGCGCACGTGAGGGTGTACGAGTGGTATTTGGGATGCTTTTGTTGGCTGGCTCCATGCTTCTGCATCGAACGGTTGACATGTATCCCTTTTTATATTTTCTTCTGGCCTTTATGGCTTTGGGGACATGCTTGGTTCCTGCATTGCTTATCTATTAAATGATAATTCATTTGATTTGGAGGGATTACTTCACCCACACCTATTCTTGGGTTTGTTGGGGATTTTAAAGTAGTGCACTTGATGCATATGTACAATAATGTTCCTGCTCCTAAACCTGGTAAAAATGAATTATATTTACATGATCAATATTTTATCGACAAACGATGAAAATGGTATATGATCCTCTGTGAACATGCTTAACATTGATGTCGAAAAATTGAGACCCTTATTATTACATGCATTTGGTATTGTTTGTGAGAAAATATAGGGTGTTAAAACCTTATGTATTTGTCCATGTCCCTTACTTCAGGAAAAATCGGTTGCATTTAAATGATGAGTCTTTCAGTCAATTGATGATGAAAACGGTATATGATCTTTTTATACTTGACCTTGATGTCGACAAATAGAGATAGTTATGATTTGATGTATTTGGTATTTATGGTGGAAAAATTTAGGGTATTAAAACCCTATATATTTGACTTTGTCCTTGAACTTGATAAAATTCGGCTACATTTCCATGATAAGTTTTTAATTGGCAAATGATG